GCAGGAAAATACAGATGACTCTCAGATCTGGCTTCTGGGCCAGACCAAAGAAGGAATTTAAAAAGTGGGAAGCTGATTCACCTCCGACAATCTTTTCACTTTGGGTTTTATACCTTAACAAGCTCTCGGGGCCGCAGGGGGAATGCCGGGCAGACATGAGGACAGAAATAAGTTACTGAAGCTTACAGCTGGTTAATATTAACTCGCTTTCCTTCCTGAGAAACCTCGCCATGCGGGGCTAATGGGCGAGACTCAGGGCTTTCACCGAGCCCGAATGCAAACACCACCCGACAGCCGGGTCAGGCTCTGCAGGACAAGCAGCCCGGGCAGCGGCCACTCCGCCCTCCCCAATCCCGTAAGGTCGTCACAGGGCACAGCGTCTCCAGGGCCCGCAGTCCTGATGTCATTTCTTGCTGAATGTTAAAATGTAGCCTGGCCGGTGTGGTTCAGTGGTTGAGTGTCGACCTATGAACCAGGAGGTCACGGTTCAATTCCTGGTCAGGGCACAGGCCCAGTGTGGAGCATGCAGGAGGCAGCTGATCAATGACTCTCTCTCACATTGATGTTTCTATCTCTCTACCCTTCTCCCTTCCTCTCTGAAATCAATAAACATGTATTTAAAAAATAAAAAAGTGTTGCCGGAGCCGGTTTGGCTCAGTGGGTAGAGCGTCAGCCTGGGACTGAAAGATCCCAGGTTCGATCCCGGTCAAGGGCATGTACCTAGGTGCGGGCACATCCCCAGTAGGGGGTGTGCAGAAGGCAGCTGATCAATGTTTCTCATTAATGTTTCTACTTCTCTATCCCTCTCTCTTCCCTCTGTAAAAAAGTCAATAAAATATATTTTTTTAAAATAAAAAAGTGTTAAAAAGTAGCGTAGCATTTTGTAGCTGCAGCTAGATAAGGGTGGGCTGGCAGAACTCAATGGGATGACAAGACAGCTCTCCCGGAGGCAGAGCTTCGAGTGGGTGAACTACCTTGCAGCAGCGCATGTTGTTTTTGAATAGAGCTCCCCCCCCACCTCCGGCCCTCGTGTTCCACAACAAAACCCGCCAGAGGCACCCAGGGGTGGGGGCGTCCGTGAAGCTTCACCTGTAAAAGCAGGCAGAGCCTGGCCGTGTTCTCAGTGGTTAGAGCACCGGCCCCAGCACCGAAGGGTCTCGGGTATAACTGCGGGTCAAGGATACTGACCTGGGTTGCAGGTTCAATCCCCGGTGCCAGGAGCCTGTGCCCAATGAAACCAATCCATGTCTCTCCTCCCCACTCCCACTCTAAAAATCAACGGGAATGTCCTCAGGTGAGGACTGGCAAACACAAAACCAAAACCAGGACCAGGTAGGAGCTGGATCTGGCCCCTGATCTAAACACTCCGTCTTCAGCTCTAACTGTCCCCTCTCTCTCTCTCTTTCTCTCTCTGAAATATTTTTATTGATTTTTAGGTAGAGAGAAAGAGAGGGAGGGAAATATCAATGAGAGTTGCAAGGACTGGCTGCCTCCTGCACACACCCTACTGGGGATCCAGCCCTCAATCCGGGCATGTGCCCGGGACTTCCTGGCCCACGGACGACCTGGACCCACTGAGCCACACCCGCCAGGCACCTGTCCATTCCCTTAAACACACAGGCACCTGGAAAAGGAGGCTGTGTGGGCCCAGTCCTCAGGTTACCATGGTGTTTTGATCATTGTAACGTTAACACCAAGAATCAGATTGTGAGCGAAATAAACCACAGCTCTTGGGGCCTGGAGGCCAGTGTGTGCGGCCAGATGGCCGTTTCGGATCCAGAAGGATGCTCACCTCCTGCTCTATGACCTCCCCTCGCCCCCTTACTCACGTACCCAGCCCTCCAGGTCCCTAGTGCCGGAGGGGCACCAGCGGGCTGTGCTGGTTACTCAGCTGGGAGCGCAGAACCGCCCAGGGCCTGGGGCTGGCACGTGCCCAGGAGGCCCAGTAGAAATAGTAACTTTAAAAGAAAAGCAGGAGGATAAATGTGCTGCTTCTACTACTCATACGTCTTTATTATTGTTACTATTATTATTTTGTTGTTGTTGTTAATCCTCACCGGAGGAGGTTTCCCCACTGATTTTAGAGTGGAAGAGGAAGGGAAAGCCAGAGAGAAACATTGATGCGAGAGAAACACATCAACTGGCTGCCTCCTGCATGAGCCCTGACCAGGGCTGGGGAGGAGCATGCCCTTGACCGAAACTGAGCCCAGGACCCTTTGGCCTGCCGGCCGACCGACGCTCTAAGCACCGAGCCCCACGGCCAGGCCCTTCCGCACAGATTCCACGTGGCCTGCTGGCTGGGCAGGCTGTGCAGAGCAGCAGAACCAATGGGGTGCTGCTCTGGGCCCAACAATCCCGATGTTCACGCCAACTCCTCTGCGCGGGAGTGTGGGTTCCATACCTCTCCCGTCGTCCTCAGTGGACAGTGTGGGCTCTTGTGAGGGACCCCAAGACCAAACGCAAAGCCGGGCCGCTGTGCCCGGAGACCAGGCGGTTACACGAGACGCGGCCGCGCACACGCCAGCCCCACTCTCGGGTTACCCTGAGCGCTAACATGGAAACCGGCTGCCTCTGCTCCCGACCTCACTCCTCACTGAGCGCGGGCCCAGCGTTCTGCAGCAGCCATGCCCAGCCCGCACCCTGCCCGGCGAGGCATGGCCGAGGGGCGGCCAGGGACGGGCACATCACAGAGGCTGGGCGCAGGGCGGGGCGGGGGCCTGAAGAAGGGCACTGGAGGGGGCTTGCTGGCGGCGCTGTAAGGGGGCGGCTGGTCCCGGGCCGTGGTAAGGGGCAGATGCCAGGCTAGTCCAGTTGCCAAGGGAAATGCCACTCGGGGACACTTCCTGCTCTGAGTACCACCAGCTGCAGCTCTCCCCTGAAGTGACTTGTTCATTGCAAGGAGGTTCGCACTTTCCGGGCGTCAGGCGGACAGCTCCACCGGGGGCCTCGTCCTCACCCCCTCGCCAGCCACCACCCCGCTGGCCAGGTGTCCCCGCCGGGTGCTTGCTTAACACACTGCGGGCGGATCACGCGCATTCCCGTTTTCACCTTACAGGGTGTTTTACAGAAACGTTAAAGGCAGGCCTCAAAATGAAATACCCATTGCATCTTGAAGTTATTTCTTACGCGTTCTTACAAGCTGATGCTCTTTAAAGTGTGGTCCTCTGTAAAACTTGTTTCTGTACTCGTTCAGTAGAAACTTATCTGGCCACTGGGTAAAGCCAGCAATGAAACTACTGGTGCCCAATGTGTTAAGGGGAATTAGACCCCGCCCGGCCGGTGTGGCTTAGTGGTTGACCTCTGAAGCAGGAAGTCACGGTTCTATTCCCGGTCAGGGCACAGGCCGGGGGTGGGGGCTTGATCCCCAAGTGTAGGGCGTGCAGGAGGCAGCTGATCCACGATTCTCTCTCATCACTGATGTCTCTCTCCCTCTCCCTTCCTCTCTGAAATCAATAAAAAATATTATTTAAAAAAAGAGGAATTAGACCCCATTTTCAATGTCCCATATTCCCAGGGCTTGGCCATCCTCCGGGACAAAGGGTTCTTGTTTATTCCTGGTGGCGGCCTTGGCCGGGGAGCTGGTGAGCGGGCTGTTTGCTCAGGGAGCTCCTAACACTCTCTGGGTGAGTGTCTGCCGGAAGCCCGTGTCCAATGGGGCCGACTGGACGTGTGCTCTCAGGGTGGAGAGAACATGGGCCTGGCACCCTCTCGTGGAGCTCGGGGAGCGACTGGGATGCATCTGGGGAACGGGCGTGGGTCCGAGGGGTCAGGAAATCCACGCCCTGGGAGGCCAGCCCTGCCCCGGAGGCGGGAGCCGGGAGCCGCGGGCCGCAGTTGCACGGCAGACATGTGACCAGCCTCCCTCTGCCAGCACTGAGGCATGTTTTCCTTTAAATGATTAAACTTAGTTGAACTTCGTTCAGGAAAAAATTTTCCATCTGAACACTGTTTTCCAGGCTGAAAGAGTTTCCAGAGGAGGTTTGTTTTTCTTAAAGAGAAACCTGGTGTCGACGGCTTCCCGCATCTGGGGCTCAGCACCCCCAAACGATACCAAATCGTGTCTCTGGGCCGCCTCCTCCCCCCGCCTGGCTACTCAGCGCGTCCAAAGGGAAGAGAAAGACAGGCAGGAGGTTAGAAACACGTCCCGGCCTCTCGATAATACAACCAAGAGGCTCTGGACCTGATCCCACGTCTACCCGGCTACCGTGGGCATGAGGCTAAGGCCACCCCGAATGTCCGGGGCCGGCCGGCGAGGGCTGCCCAGTCTGCACTGGGCTCATGTCGAGTCAGGACGTGAGGGTGAAGCCCAGGCCTGAGCGCCCAGCTTCGGGGAGGGAAGGGGGGGTGCGGGGCGGGGAAGTGGGGGCAACTAGTCCCAGAAAGACAAGCGTGACTGTCAGCTCCCCAGGCTGCTCCTGTTTGCCGTCACTGCGGTCACTTAAAGACAACAGCCTGTTCTTTCTTTCTCTCTTCACTGCCCACGACCAAAAGCCAGGGTGAATCATGACCAGAAGCTGCTCGGGCTCCCTTTGCTTTTTTCCTGGGGGGAGAGGATGCTTTTTCTGCCTCCCTCTTTTACATTTTTTTTCTTTCCCAAACGTGATTACTTCACTTCTTTAATCCTCTCCCGAGGATATTTTCCATTGATTTTTAGAGCGAGTGGGAGGGGGAGAGACAGAGAGACACAGGGATGGGTTGCCTCCTGCACGAGCCTGACCAGGGCCAGAGCCGGGGAGGAGCCTGCAACTGAGGTGCGTGCCCTTGGCCCAGAATGGCCCACGTTCTACCCACTGAGCCACACCGGCCAGGGCCGGGGCTGCTTCTGGATGAGGTTTTGAGCAGGAGGGAGAGGGGTGCATAGCGGGGGAAGGAGGCGGTCACCCCGCCCCGCCCTCGTGGCCCCGCCCACCGCTACCCGACTCGGATCCACCCTGCCCCGCACCCCCAAACCCGCGGCCCCCCAACCAGCGCTCCCATCCCCGGCCGCTCCGGCGGGCGCCATGGGCAGCGGCAGCAGCCGGAGCGGCCGGGCCCTGCGGCGCCTCCGCGGCCCCGACAGCCGGCCGGCGGGCCCGGGCGGGGCGGCCCCGGACTCGGCGCCGGCGGAGGCCCGGGAGGAGGTCCCCGAGGCCGCGGGGGCGGCGGCGGCGGGTCCGGCCCCCGGCCCCACAGCGCCCCCCGACTGCCGGGACGAGACGCTGCGCCTGCTGGACCAGCTGCTGGCCGAGTCCGCGGCCTGGGCCCCGGGGGAGCCGGCCCCGCGGCGCCCGGCGCGCCCCCCGCCCGCCGCCGGCGCGGGCAGCCGGGTGAGTGTCTGCGCCGCGGTCCCCCCGCCCCGGCCCCCCGCCCCCCCTCCCCTCCCCGCCGCCCCCGGCCCCCCCGCCGCCCCGGCCCCCCCGCCGCCCCCGGTCCCCCCGCCGCCCCCGGTCCCCCCGCCGCCCCGGTCCCCCCGCCGCCCCCGGTCCCCCCCGCCGCCCCGGTCCTCCCGCCGCCCCCGGTCCCCGCGCCCCCCCCCCCCGGTCCCCCCGCCGCCCCGGTCCCCGCGCCTGTCCTCCCCCCGCCGCCCCGGTCCCCCCGCCCCGCGGCCCCGGCGCCGGGGCGGGCTCACCTCCCGCACACGCACCGCGTCCCGGCCTGTCTCCTCGGGCGCCGCCTCCGTTGGGGGATGCGGGGCGGGCTCCCCGGGGCCAGGCCTCCCCCGGCGCGTCTGCGGCTTCCGTGGCCCCGACCCGCCTCCCTCCCCGGGACGGGCCCCGCTCCGCTCCGCGCGGCCCCGCGCCTCCCAGCCCCCCCGCCCCCATGCCCCCCGGGCGGCCCGGGTGCCCCCCACACACACCCCGGGTGCGGGCGGAGGGGCCCCACACACCCCGGGCGCCCGGGTGCCCCCACACACCCCAGGTGCCCCCATGCCCCCCAGGCGGCCCGGGTGCCCCCCACACACACCCCGGGCGGCCCCGGTGCCCCCCACACACACCCCAGGCGGCCCGGGTGCCCCCACACACCCCGGGTGCGGGCGGAGGGGCCCCACACACCCCGGGCGCCCGGGTGCGGGCGGAGGGGCGCCGGGCCCCACAGCGGCGCCCCGGTGCCGGCCAGACCGGCTGCGGACAAGGCGTGAACGGCGGCCCCGGGCGCGGAGGCTGCAGGCGGCCCTCCCCGCACCCCACCCGCCCGCCCCCCTCGGCGGTGGGGCCCTGAAACCTCCGCCCGGAGGGAGGGAGGGAGGGAGGGGGGTCAGGGCCGCCTCCTGTCCGTCCGCCCGCCCCGCCCGCTGCCCTCCCGGCGCCTGCGGTTCGGCTCGGCAGCCTGGCCCGGCCCGCAGGCCCTCAGGCCGCATCAGGGCGCTTGGGTAACGGACGCGGAGCCGCAGGGGAGACGCGGGGAAATCCTGGCTCCATGGAGGCGGTGTCTGATGGCTGGGACTTCAGATGGGAAAGCAACATGGACCCGCCCCCATGTCGCTGGGTACGGCTCGGGGCTGCCCGCCTCGCTCTCCTTCCGGTCCCTCTCAGTGCCCTCTGGGCTCCTGCTGGGCCAGCGGAGCTCTGGGGAGAGGCACCCAGAGGCGCGTCCCTGTCCGAAGCCGCAGTCTGACGGGTGGGGCGGGGAGAGCTGCAGGCAGGACGAGTACAGTGCCGTCTCCATCTGCAGGGCCGAGGCTGGCTCCGTGCCTGGGCGTTGACCTCTGAGCCAGGAGGTCATGGTTGGATTCCCGGTCAGGGCACAGGCCTGGATTTCGGGCTCTATCCCCAGTGTGGGGCGTGCAAGAGGCAGCCGATCAGTTATTCTCTCTCATCACTGATGTCTCTCTCCTGCACCCTCTCCCTCTGAAATCAATAAAAATAAATTAAAAAGGGAGGAGCAGCTGAGCAGGAGCAGCAGCTGAGCCCGGGGAGCCGGGCGGCCTCCAGGACAGGCTCACCTGAGTCTGGCAGACAGCGGAGGGAGCCCTGGGGCAGGGAACCCCCTGTGCAGAGGCGACGGCGGCCTGGGTGCGGGGACACGGGGGGCTGGGTGCTGACTGTGGTTGGAGGAAGCTGGTGTGGAGGGGCCAGATGCCAGGCCTGGGGGCACGGGAAGGTGCAGAGTGAACTGGACAGGATGTCCTGGGTGGGCACGGCCCCGGAGATGCTGCCGAAAACGTGGCCCAGGAGTCCGGGTTCCCAGGGGGCTGGGACGGCCCTAACTAACAGACTGGTGAGAGGGCGGCAGAGGTGCGGCCAGCATGGAGACGCTCCGTGCCAGCACCTGGAGCCGCACAGGGAGGGCAGCCCGGCCCAAGGCCACCCGCGCCGGTTCTCGCCGGACTCTGCCGCCCAGGAGCCCGTGGGCAGCGCCCTTTGGCTCCTTGGTTTCTGGTTAATCCTCACCTGAGGATATCTTTCCATCGAAGCTTAGAGAGAGGGAGAAGGAGAGGGAGAGACAGGGAGGGGAAAACATTGATGTGAAGGAACCATATCGATTGGTTACCTCCTTACGCGCCCCAATTGGGGCCGGGGGCCGAGCATACAGTCAAGGCACATACCCTTGACCGGAATTGAATCCAGGCCCTCTAACCTGTCCACTGAGCCAAACCGGCGAGGGCCCCTCTGCTTTCCTGAGAGTTTGAGAACCCCAGGCTGCTAAGGTGAAGGGACCTTAGCGACCGCCTAGGGCTGCTTGGCATTTATAATAGAGGCCATGGGGCCCGGCACAGTGACTGCCCAAGCCCCGCCCCCAGCCTCCGGGACCGGAGCCATGCCAGGTCATCTCTGGGAGCAGGATCATGTTGGGGAGCACAGCCAGGAGGGAGCACACCCGGGGGGAGCACAGCCGCCCGCTCAGCACTCAGGGAGTGTTCGCCGGCTGCAGGCTGGGGAGAAGTATTTGAAAATACATGCGAGTGTGCTTTTTGTTCTGTGTTGTTATTCCTGATCCGAGGATATTTCCCCCGTTGATTTTTAGAGAGAGTGGAAGGGAGGGAGGAAGGGAGGGAGAAACGTCAATATGATTGGTTGACTCCTGCAGGTGCCCCGACTGGGGCCGGGGATTGAACCTGCAACCCAGGTAAGTGTTCTTGACGGGGAATCCGGGAATCGAACCCATGACCCTTTGGTGCAGGGGCCGATGCTCTAACCACGGAGATACACACACCAGGGCGTGAATGTGCTTTAACAAGTGATAACACTCCCTGTGAGTGTAATTTATTGTCACTCTCCTCCAGTCCCGCCCCGTTAGCTTCTCGGGTCTCCCACTTTCTTTCTCTTTGGAAACACGTTCCTGAAGGCAGGTCCCGGGGGAGGCAGAGGCCCTGGGACGGTGGTCTCAGAGTCAGAGCAGCCTCCTTCCAAAAGTGCTTCCTCATTTTAGCAACTGTCAAAACAGCTGTCCCCCTGGCCCCACAGCCTCTGCGAGAGGCCTGTAAGTGCGGGCAACAGCGCCCTCTGCTGGTGAGAGGGCCGCACCCGACTGGCAAAATCGGGTACAAATGAGCTGAGGCTGGGAGTAAGGTACCCGGAACCCAGTCCCTGTTCTCTCCGCTGGAGGTGTTCGCTGTCCACAGTGAAACCTAAAAAAGCAACCCAAACCTGGCCTTCAGAGAAAAGAGAACTCCTGAGCCATGCCACCTGGTGGACCCCAGAACCGCAATGCAGACTGAAGGAAGCCAGCCAGGAAGGGTGCTCCGTGTGCGAGCCCAGCAGCTAGGCTTCAGGGAGAGCACCTGCAGGGACGGGAAGCGGACCCTCGGCTGCCAGGAGGAGGAGGTGGAGGTGGAGGAGGAGGTGGGAGGTGGAGGTGGAGGAGGAGGTGGGAAGTGGAGGAGGAGGTGGAGGTGGGAGGTGGAGGAGGAGGTGGAGGTGGGAGGGAAGGAGGTGGAGGTGGGAGGTGGGAGATGAAGGAGGCAGCAGAAGGCAGGAGGTGGAGGCGGGAGGAAGGAGGGCGGCCACACAGAGCTCATTTAGTATGTCATTGCAGTGAGGGGTTAACAGGTGTACCCACATGTCAAACCTACGGGACTGTGCCCTTCAGACTCCTGCCGCTGTGACCGCGCACCTCAGCTGACCGGTGCGCACAGAGGGCGGGTGAAGGGCGGCTCTCCGCTGTGAGTGTGCCCAACACTTTTCCTGTCTTTTTGCTTATTGTTATTGTATTATTTTCCACCCGAACCGTAAACCTATTTCCCCCCACGCTGCATATTCATACACGAGTGTTGAGAGCTAAGGGGAGAACTCTCAGGCAGAAGCAGCGGGATAGAATACATTCTGGTAAGATATGCAGTGGATTTCCTAAATTAACTATTGATATTTCTCTGTTCTAAAAACACACTCTTGTAAGAAGTCAGATGAGACGTTCAGAGATCATCTTACTTCACCCCTCCTGTTGGGTGTGGCTGTACAGTGCCTCCATGGGATTTATGTTTTTTAAAATATATTTTTATTAGCCGAAACCGGTTTGGCTCAGTGGATAGAGCGTCAGCCTGCGGAATGAAGGGTCCCAGGTTCGATCCCAGTCAAGGGCATGTACCTTGGTTGCAGGCATATCCCCAGTAGGGGGTGTGCAAGAGGCAGCTGATCGATGACTGGAGAGGAAGGGAGGAAGAGAGAGAGAGAAACATCAATGATGAGAATCATGGATCGGCCGCCTCTTGCATGCCCCCCACTGGGGATCAAGCCCATAACCCGGGCGTGTGCTCTTGACTGGAATCAAACCTGTGACCCTTCAGTCCACAGGCCGACGCTCTATCCACTGAGCCAAACCATCTAGGGCAGGATTTCAAGTGAGAACATGTCTCCACCCCACCCAGACACAGCGCCCTCCCTGAGCTCAGCCAGGTCCCCACACGCCAGCCCCGGTTCTGCCCTCTTTGGGGTCCAGCTGTCTGACCTCCCGGTGGCATTCTGCCAGCTGTCTGGTGGCGGACACTTGTGTCTGCCCAGGGCCTGCAGCAGCCACCAGGGGCCGCTGTGTCTCCGCTTCCCACCAGGCTCCCCTTGCATCTTCTATAAGCTGTAGTCTGGGAAGGCCTAACATCGCCCATCCCATCGGGGAGGGTCAAGTTAACGTCCAGGGCGGGCGGCAGGGAGTTCCTGAGGAAGGAGTGTGCCTACCTTCTGAACGCAGCCTCAGGGGGTCCAGTCCGCGGTGTGATGGTGCGCCGTCCGTGCGCCGTCCAGGCCCCGCGAGGCGGCCAGCCGCTGTCTGTGCGGAAGTCTGGTCCCACCGCGTGCTTTCCCCCGTTGTCCTGATGGGAGAGACTGTACTGTAACAGCCCCACAAAACCTGGCGGCGAGGGGGACAGCAAAAGCCGGCCCAGCAGAAACCGGCGAGCGGGAACTGAGGATTCACAGCCACAGCTGAAGGGAGCGAGCGTGGGTACAGGTGTTGTTTAAATTCTCTGTGGCCCCTGAGGATACATCCAGGCCAAGGAGGCAGCCCACGGGGACCGGAAGCCCGTCTCGCACGGAGTCCTGTGCACCCATGTTCACGGGAACGTTAGTCTCAACCGCAAAGGCAGGAGCGACCCCCGTGTCCGTCGCCGGGCCGGTGAACAAAGTGCATGACGAACATACGGTGCCATGGCAGTGAGAGGCCACCTCGCCCTGTCAGAACGGCTCTCATCCACAAGCCCCCTGTGCTGGTGAGGACACAGAGGGAACGCTGGTGCACTGCCGGTGCGAATGCAGCCGGCACGGAAAACAGTGCGAATTTCCCCCAAATTAAAAACGGACCTGCCGTGTGACCCAGGATTCCACTTCTGGGTAAATACCCAAAGAAACCTGAAATACTAATTCCAAAGAGCGTATGCCCCTATGTTCACTGCAGCAGCATCTACAACAGCCCAGGTACAGACGCAGCCCGTGGCCATCCCTGGACAAGCGGCTGAAGATGCTGGGGTGCCTCTACCCGATGGGATACTCCTCGCCCCCCCCCAAAAAAAAGGGTTCTGAACTGTTTCCGGCAGCATGGACACAGGGTGCTATGCTAAGCAAAAGAAGTCAGAGAAAGACAAACCCCAGGATTTCATGTATGTGTGGATCTCAAGAGCCATATAAAAAAACGAAACAGAAGCAGACCCCTAGACGCACAGAAGGAAGTGATGGCCGCTGGGGGAGGGCGGTGGGGCTGGGGGAGGGGGGAGGGGTGGAGAGAAGTGCAGATGGGCAGCTACAGGCAGACACGGGAAAGTTAAGTACAACGTAGGGACTACAGTCATAGGAACAGCTGTGCGGGGGGCCAGGTGGCACCATAAATAGCAGGAGGCACTCTGTAAAATGCGATCCCCTAACCGCTAGGCTGTGCACCTGAAAGGAATACAGAGCAATGCTGACTGTAGCGGGAGGAAAATGAGGATACACTCCTTAAGAAAAGTGGTCCGGTCGTCCGTCGGTGCCCACGGGGGTTGGTTTCAGGGTCCCTGCAGACACCACACCCTTCAGATGTTCTAGTCCCTTCTTTAAAATGGTGCAGTGTTTGTGTATAACTTCGCAAATACTTTCTTTAGACCAGCGGTCGGCAAACTCATTAGTCCTCAGAGCCAAATATCAACAGTTCAACGATTGACATTTCTATGAAGAGCCACGTTTTTTAAAACAAACTTCTTCTAACGCCACTTCTTCAACATAAGACTCGCCCAGGCCGTGGTGTTTTGTGGAAGAGCCACACTCCAGGGGCCAGAGAGCTGCCTGTGGCTCGCGTGCCGCAGTTTGCCGACCACCATCACCGGATTACCTATCACACCTAATACCACGTAAACGCTGTGTAAACAGTCACCAGGCTGTGCTGTTGGGGAATGATGATGAGAAAAAGCCTGACTGTGTTCAGCGCACACACAACACTGCAGCCTGCTACACAGCGCACTCAGCAACCTGAGGCGCTCCTTCTATTCTGGACCCGTTGGTTGGTTCTGGATGCAGCACCCGTGGATATGGAGGGCCACTGTGTCCACACGCAGTGGGATGGTGCCCGGTCCTGGGCTGACACACGCAGTGGGATGGTGCCTGGTCCTGGGCTGACACACGCAGTGGGATGGTGCCCGGTCTTGAGGGCTGGATGCGGCGGCCATCGGGGTCACAGGAAGCCGGAGCGGGGGGAGGCTCGCCAGCGGTCACCTTTTGATGCCTCTCCCTTCTGTCCTCCTCAAGGTGTCCCCCGAGTGCAGTGCCGAAGACCACCCGGAGAGCAGCAGCGCACCCCAGTAAGTCCGGGAGTCACTGCTGCCGGGCTCCCCCTGCCCTCAGCCTCTGGGCCCAGGTCCCCGGACCCAGCTCATCCCACGCAGCTCCCCTTAGAATGCAAAGCTCTGGCTCGTGGGGGGTGGGGGGCGCAGGCCCAGCCTGGGACAGCGCAGACCCTTCCAGTCCAGCAGCTGGGACCCTCCTGAAGAGCCTGACCCATCACTCAGGCGTCCCGAACCCGCCCCTCCCGGTCGCAGCCGCACCTGTCACTCGGGATGAGACGCCCACCTTGGGAGATGACTGCCCAGAGCACTGGGGCCCCTCTAGTCCCAGGAAAACACTTAACCCCCCGAAGGGGTCCCCTGAGGACCCCGAATTGACACCCTGGGGCCCCTGTGGGACAGCAGGCTGCCTGATCCCCTCTGGCTTGTTCAAGAGACCCTGTGCCCTTGGGGTCTCCTGCTCCATCCGTATTCCTCGCCCGGGCCACCTTCCGCGAGCCCCCGAGGGGACCGCACGGACGGGACCTCTCTGCCCAGCACTCCCAGGTGCCACGCTCCACGTGGACACGGCATTGGCATTTCGGCTCACCCTCAGGCCGGCATGCGGAGGGGTCTCCCCTTGTCCCCCCCAGCAGCTCCTGTGGGACCCTGGAGGTGGACGGGCAGGGAGAATCGGGACAATGGCTGTGGCGCCCCTGCCCACACTTGCCAAGGGCAAGGTTGTTACAGGTGTCCATGCCTTCTCCCTCATTTCTGCCTCCGCAGGAACCTGTGCACACAGCTCCTTTAGAGAAAAAGGAAGGCCACAGAGCTCGTTCGTGGCGGGGCCGGGACTGGAACTGGGCCCTCCGCTCCGGCCTCGCCCTGAGTGCCCAGGCCCTGGCTGGAGGCAGGCAGGGGCTAGGCCTGCTCCGGGGAAAGGGCGAGTGCGGGAGGGGTCCCCAGGGCAGGGCTTCCTGGTTTGGTCCCAGGTGATCAGAATCCCCTGGCGGTTTCCCAGGAGAGAGACGAGCTCCGAGGCCACGTCTTGCCTCCTGATGCCATGTCTGTTCTGGCCTGCAGAGCCCCTGGCAGCGGCCACCAGCGGCCGGAGAGGCGATCGGTCATCGTGTACGACTGCTCGGAGGAGGAGCTGATGGCCAGCATCGAGCAGGAGTACTGCCACTGAGGCCCGGCCCGGCGCCGGGAACCTGGGCCCACACACAGCGACCACGGCCTTCAAACCGACCTGTCCACCCGCCTCAGGTGCTGCTGCCAGGGGGCCTGGGCGGCCGGCGGAGGGAGTCGCCTGGGTTCTGCGGTGGCTGTCCCAGAGGCGGAGGCGGTGGCTGTCCGGAGGCGGTGACTGTCCCGGAGGCGGTGGCTGTCCCGGAGGCGGTGGCTGTCCCGGAGGCGGTGGCTGTCCGGAGGCGGTGGCTGTCGGCTGTCCCGGAGGCGGTGACTGTCCCGGAGGCGGAGGCGGTGGCTGTCCGGAGGCGGTGGCTGTCCGGAGGCGGTGACTGTCCGGAGGCGGTGACTGTCCCGGAGGCGGAGGCGGTGGCTGTCCGGAGGCGGTGGCTGTCCGGAGGCGGTGACTGTCCCGGAGGCGGTGACTGTCCTGCAGAGGCGGTGACTGTCCCGGAGGCGGTGACTGTCCGGGAGATGCGGTCCAAACGCAGACTCTGACCCGGTGGGGCGGTTTCTAACAGGCTCCCGGCCGCCCCCCACCTCCCCGAGGGGCAGGACTGGGGACCTGCGCGGAAGGCTGACCCCCAGAGGGACAGCACGGGGCCTCAGTTTCCCTCTCCGGAAAGGGAGTGCTGGCGGCTCTGCCCACAGTGACAACCAGGGGTCACAGGGTTCCAGGCTCCCGGCTCCTCTGGTCCCCGCCCCCTCCCTGCTGAGGGGCACCCGCCCCCTGGGCCCGGAACTGCCCCCAGGAGGGGCTCCCCACCCCCGGAGAGGCCTCAGGCCGCCGGCCCTCACCTGGCAGCGCCCGCGGGGCCTCGGCCTCGAGGCACACAGCGGCCTGGCCCAGGACGCCCCTCCGCCGAGGCAGGGCCTGCACTGCAGCATGACGGGAAGGCGGGGAGGCGGGACTTCCGGCGTGGCCCAGGTGTGGCGCTCCCAGCAGCGGAAGCGGAAGCGCAGGGAGAGGAGCGGTCAGGGCCCGGATGCTGCTGAGGGCACGTGGCGGGGACAGCGGTTCTTGCCGAAGCCGGAAGCGGCCCCAGCCAGTCCCGCATGGACCACCAGCACAACGGCCTCCTGGTGTGGCCGGCAAACGCAAGAGCATTTTTTTTTTTTAAACAATTAAGCAAGATCGGGATAGAAGAGATTATTCTTTTTTAAAAAATTAGTTTATTTTAAAAATATATATTTTATTGATTTTTAATAGAGAGGAAGGGAGAGGGATAGAGCGTTAGAAACATCGATGAGAGGGAAACATGGATCAGCTGCCTCTTTCACACCCCCCGCTGGGGATGTACCTGCAACCAAGGTCCATGCCCTTGACCGGAATCGAACCCGGGACCCTTCAGTCCGCAACTAGTTTTGGCTGCAAGAGCATCTTACCGGAAAGACCCACAGCCCGTGCCATCGGGCAAAGGGGTGTTTCCGGGAACTTGGCTGCTTTGGCGAGAGGGCCTTTGACCGGAGGGTCCATAGCCGGGAGGTTTCTTCTCCGGAGTCAGGACGGAGCCATGGAGCGGGGAGGGAGGGCTCAGAACCCCCACCGCGGGAGCCGTTTCTCACCCACGCCCAAACCCTTCCTTTTGATACAATGATTAAAGCCGTTCCTATTTTAGTAATACACACGCTTCTTTTAATATTTTCGTTATTTTTTAAGTCCTCACCCACAGATGCTTGATTTTAGAAAGAGGAAGGGAGAAACATCAATGTGAGAGAGAGAGACATCCATCCGCCGCCTCCCACACGCACCCATCCTGGGGACCCAGCCTGAAACCTAGGGACACGCCCTGACTGGGAATTGAACCCACAGCCTTGTGGTGTTCAGGACAGTGCTCCAGCCAAGTGAGCCACACCGGCCAGGGCACAAGTGCTGCTTCTTCGTCGTCTTCTTTTTTTTTTTTTTTTTTAATATATTTTATTGATTTTGTAAAGAGAGGAAGGGAGAGAGATAGTAAGCTAGAAACATCGATGAGAGAGAGTCATCGATCAGCTGCCTCTTGCACACCCCCTACTGGGGATGTGCCTGCAACCAAGGTACATGCCCTTGACCAGAATTGAACCCGGTCCCTTCATTTTTTTTTATTTTTTTTTTGTCCCCCCCCCCCCCCCCGAACCCGGTCCCTTCAGTCCCCAAGCCGACGCTCTATCCATTGAGCCAAACTGGTTTCGGCACAAGTGCTTCTTTTAAAAGGAGCTGGCATTCCATTTCTCACAACCTGTGGCCGCCGCCCAGAGCAGGAGCAGAGGGGGAGGCTCCAGGCGGACTGCTAAATGCAAAGCCCATGAGGATCTGGCCTCCCCAGCACGCCTGCACACACATGTTCACACGTGACCAGGACCAGCGTGGCCCACGAGTCACACCTGTGTGTCTGCCACCATCACATCCCAGGATGGGGCTCTGGGAGGCCCTGAGCCAAGAGGACTGACTGAATGTCAAGTGAGCTCAGAGGCCAGGGCGGCTCCAGCTGCACCTGACACCCTGAGGGTGGTCTTGCTGGTGTAAGTCTATTTTTATTGATTTCAGACAGGAAGGGAGAGGGAGACACATCCATGATGAGAGAACAACTAATCGGCTGCCTCCTGCATGCCCCACACTGGGGATCAAGCTTGCAACGCAGGCATTATCCTTGACTGGAATCGAACCCAGGACCCATCAGTCACCAGGCCGCTCTACCCACCGAGCCACACCAGCCAGGACTTACTGTTCTTTTCAAAAAGACAAGGGAGTCAACTGTGAGAAAATCTAGTGCTGGGAGATGAGGAGCCTGGTAGTTTTGGACAAATAGGAGGGCCGAGACCTGACCCACACGTCCCTGGCAACACCCACAGCAGCTCCTTTAAGGGGACACAGGTGCAAAGCCCAGCCCGAGTGGGTGCGAGAGAGAACGTACCCCAGGAGCAGAGTGAAGACGGGGGCCGCGGCACCTCTAAGCCTGGGCTGAGGCTCCCTCCCTCCCACCTGTTGGCACAGGAAGAGCTTGAGGAGGCAGCCACGGGGCCACCCCGCACCCACGGTCCTGCCAGGCCAGACCCAGCACCAGAGCGGCCCACACGGCGCTGCCTCTTCTCACCGTTCTCTCAGAGACCCAATGCGGGGGATGGGAGCAGAACGGAACCCAGGAAGCGGAGAGAAGGCGTAGGCTGGGCCTAGACACACTGGCTTTGGTTAAGTATGGTAAGTTATGGATTTGGTAAATTATGACTGGGGCAGTGAAATGACAAGGGACACAGGTCCAGTTTGCAAATCAAAGGCATTTTATATGATTTTATACGATTCAAAGAAAAAAGTTACATCACACATATTCATTTAAATAACAAGTCAACGTCTGGTGGTACAGGAAACACAATTCCAAGACATTGCGTTTTATTACTGAAACCACTTAAAAGGCTCAGAGTCAACAACAATCAAGCGGGACGCTCCGGAAGTCAAGGGCACTGGGGGGGGGGCTGCACGGGAGAGGGGGGGGCTCTGCGGGGCTCCACTCGGAACCCCACACGGAACCAACCAAGGGTGGCTCTCGGGACAGAATGTTTCAGACAAAACTGTTTCCCAACCTCCCGGCCTTTGGGGACAGACAGAGGCAAAGGAAGCATCTCCGGGAGGCACTGCTACGTCTGACCAGGAAGGGAGCGCTCGTCAAAACCACGGGCAGCACGGCTCCTCAGACGACGCTGCTCAGAGGATGAAAACACCCCCTGTGGGTCCCCGCCACCCCGGCAGGACTGACCTCGCTTTGCATAAGGAAGGGAACTACCAGGTGTGCTGCCGCCTCGGACATGCACGTGGGGTGTTCGTGCTGATTTGAAGGTCCGAGTGGGAGGAGAAAGGGCCGGTGCTGTAGCATCTGATGGTTGTTCTCGGGCACGAACATCATTCTATTTATTACATCCCCCTAATGAAGGTGAATGCCAGGCCCCAGGGGCAAAGGCGAACTCTGCACACCGGGCCAGGGACACCGCCCTCCCCTCCGTGCCTCCTGCGGCCTGGATTCCCAGCACCCCCTAGGGCAGGCGCTGTGGGGCGAGGGCCTGTGCCCACAGCCTCAAGGTCGGTGCCCAGGGTCTACTTCCAATTGAACTGCAAACACCCCCTCTGCATGGAGTTTTCCGTGATCACACACGAGTAGAGGGGCAGCTGGTGGCACCACGGCCGTTCAGCGTCACGTGTTTCCTCCAGTTCCCCATCGCCAAGGAGCCAGGCCTGGCTGGCCGCCGGCACGCAGCCTGCGCCTGGGTGTGCCAAGCTCAGAGCTGCGCTGGATGGGAAGCTCCTCCCGCCGTGAGGCCGCTGCCTGCTGCTCTAAGCAGGGCCTCTGCCCACAAAGTGCTGCGGGCCAGACACATAAGCCCCCGATGGCTGGCAGGCAGCTGCGTTACGATACCTTTTGTTCCCGAAGTTTGAGGTACAAACGGGGAACTGTGAATGCCGTGTTCTCCACAGAGCAGATAGAGCCTACGAGACCCCCTGACCGCAGGTGTCTGTCTGTCTGTGGAGTGTGTTTCAGTCATCCTCTGGGTACATCCTGCACAAGTCACACTGCGACACAGGCGACTAGCTCTATGCAACCAAAACCTTGATCTTTGGGCCACAGCAGCAAAGGAATGGCTGCCTGAGCATCCCCAGAGAACATCATGAGGGAGCTGCCTGCTTCTCTCCCCGTTTCTCTAAGGACCCTGCCCACCAGTTCCGATCCTAAAACATTCTTCCCTCTAAAAGGCCTGGTTACAGACATGTGATTATTTTTCCCGGCTGAAGGGTTCTTATAGAAATGTGAACCATTGGAAAGACTGCAAACCCACTGATCTAGAAACTGGTGATCGGAGTAACAACAATATAAACCTTTTCATAAAAAACAGTACAAAGTCATACCCTGCCTCAGCTCTACAAATAGAAAGGCTGTAAAAAAAAAAAATCCAGGTTTTGTAACATTTATTGCTGAAATGTTTGAATGCTGGTGATTGAGATGGTAAAGTTTTCTTCCATTCCCTTAAAAAACTTCTCAAACTACAAAAGACACGGAACAGGGTCTCAGCCAAACAGAGAACAGGTAACAGACGCTCCTCAGAGCCAGCCTCTGCTCTCCCAGCCCCCAGGACAGGGACAGGGGCTGTGGAAGAGACCAGCACCAGCCTGTCCTTGAAGTTCCCACGGGCACTCCCCGCCGGCCCTCAGGCGGAGGCCGGCCTGCTCGCCAGCGGGCTCCTGGGCGTCTCGGCCGAGGCGATCCTGCTCAGTCTGCCGGCCTCCGCCGGCCAGCCGGGCGGCTTCTTGGTGGCCACGTGCCGCCGGGCGTGCTTGGTCAGGTGGTCGCTACGCATGAAGCGCCGGTCGCACACGGGGCAGGCGAACTTCTTCTCGCCGGTGTGCGTGCGGCGGTGGCGGGACAGCTCGTCCGAGCGCGCGAACTTCTTGTCGCAGCCGTCCCAGCTGCAGCCGAACGGCTTCTCCCCTGGCGGCGGGAACACACGCGTTACAGAAGACCGGGCGCTCAGCATCCCCGCGCCTGAGTTCTTTATTTTTACTTTACTATTTAAAAACAATATCGGTCTTGATGTCAGAGAGGAAGGGAGAGGGAGAGAGAGAGAGAGAAACATCCATGATGAGAGAGAATCGCTGATCGGCTGCCTCCTGCATGCCCCCTACCGGGGATCGAGCCCACAACCCAGGCCTGTGCCCTTGGCTGGAAATGAATCCGGGACCCTTGGGCCCACAGGCCGACGCTCTGTCCACTGAGCCAAACCAGCTAGGGCTAACCCCAGTTGTTTTGAAATTTTGTTTCTCAAAACCTAGGACTACAGTAATACCCAGCTACACGGGTATCAGGCTACTGAGAAGCCAAGAAACCCTCCAAGATGCACTTCTTCCTGCCACGCCTGAGAGGCAACGTGGCAGGGCCCAGGGACGTCAGATCTTCCAAAGCTATCTTTAAATAAACACAAATGCTCACCCCAGCTGGTTTGGACAAGTGGATGGAGCGTCGGCCTGCGGACTGAAGGGTCCCAGGTTCAATTCCGGTCAAGGGCAATTCCGGTCAAGGGCACATCCCCCCAATTCCAGTAGGGGATGTGCAAGAGGCAGCTGATCGATGTTTCTAACTCTCTATCCCTCACCCTTCCTCTCTGTAAAAAAATAAAAAATTTATATTTTTTAAATCAATCAGTCTTCACCCTAGCCAGTTTGAACGAGTGGATAGAACAGCCGCCTGCAGACTCAAAGGTCCCAGGTTTAATTCTGGTCAAGGGCACATGCCCAGGTTGTGGGCTCGATTCCCAGTAGGGAGCATGCAGGAGGCAGCCAATCAATGATTCTCTCATCATTGATGTTTCTCTCTCCCCTTCCTCTCTGAAGTCAATAAGAATGTATTTTAAATAAATAAATCTTCAACTGTTAGCTTGTGGTAAGGGGAAGACGTTTTTCCTTAGTGAGTATTCTTTGTTTAAAACGTTGATACTGCCGAGACCGGTTTGGCTCAATGGATAGAGCGTCGGCTTGGGGACTGAAGGGTCCCAGGTTCGATTCCGGTCAAGGGCATGTACCTTGGTTGCGGGCATATCCCCAGTAGGGGGTGTGCAAGAGGCGGCTGATCGATGACTCTCTCTCATCGATGTTTCTAGCTCTCTCTCTCTCTCCCTTCCTCTCTGTAAAAAATCAATAAAATATATTTAAAAAAAAATAAAACGTTGATACTTAGGCTAGAATGGTTATCGCATCTCTAAATCGATCTGTCGTTCCGCTCGCCCACCCGCCTCGGCCTACCTGTGTGGGTGCGCAGGTGCGCCTTGAGGTGGGAGCTTTTGAAGTAGGTCTTGCGGCAGCCGGGGACACCGCACACGTAGTTCCTCCTCCGAGAGAAGTCCGCCGGAGGGGCGCCGCCGGGACCGGCGGCGATGAACACGGGGGCCGGGGCGAGAGGCAGCAGCCTGGCACCGCCCGCAGCCACGACACCCGCGGGGGCGCCGGAGGCGGGCGGGGGCAGCGCCCCCGGGGGCAGCACCAGCATCACGGCTCCCTGAGGCACAGCCGGGCCCATGAGCACGGGCGGGGGCCCGGGGGGCGCCGGGGGAGGGGCCTTCAGAAACGCCGGCAGCACGGCACTCTGTCCGGTCAGGGGCATCATGTGGCAAAGGACGGGAGGGCTGGGGGCGGGGACGGAGGGCAGAGGCAGGTCCCCTTCATGGTTCTTCGGTGAGCGGGGTGGGACTGCAGCCGGCCGCCCCGCCTGCTGGCCTTGGTCGGGGGGGCCCGGGTCCCCAGACTTCTCGGAGCGAGGCGGGCAGGGCCCCAAGTTCAAGGTGAGAGAAGGTTCTCCGAGGTGTGCGTCCCGCAGAGCTCCCACGTGTCCCCTGCCGTCTGGAGGCGGGGTGGCAGCCACGTGGCCGGGAGCGGGACCCCCCAGGGCGTGGGGGGTGGCACTGGCCACCACAGCCCTGCAGGGGGCGCCAGGCGCCGGCTCCAGCAGCTCTGGCTTCGAACCCAGCAGGCTCCTCTGGGCCCTCCGGCTCGGGGCGCTGGCGGCTCTGGCAGCAGGAGGGTGGGAAGGAACCAGTGGTCTCGTCAGCGGCTCGGTGAGGTCCGGGCTCTGAGGCGGAGTCATGCACTGGTGGGAAGGAAAGGGCTGTGGGAAAGGCCGTACAAGGCAGTTACGTCGATGGGGTGCTCCCGGCGCCTTTACAACACTGGCCAGCGCCTCCACTTCCCGGTCTCCCCCTTTCTGACCGCCCACACCGAGCCCTTTGCTCGGCTCTCATCAGCGCCCTCCTGGGCCCGCACAGGGATGGAAATGAGCGGGTGAACACGAGGACGACAATGAGAAAACACATTTACACTCAGCGAGGGCTTTGCACCATCATTCCGGGTTCTCAGAAAGGCCTGTGAAACCCTGAGGCTCTCACTGGATCCACACTCACCAGGGCCCACTAGGTGAGGCCGGGCACACCCATCAGAGCGATGACGCCCAGGGACACGCTCTAACGGTGTCTGCCTACTCCAAGCCTCTGCTGCCCCAACAATTCCCGCTCCTCAGCCTCCGGGGAGAGCCCATGCCAGAGCCCGAAGGGGCTCAGCAGCCAGGCCGCCTCTGCAGTCCGCTCTGCCGCACACACAGCCCTCTCATCCCTCTCCAAGCGGCTTCCCACGGCTCCTCCCAGCGCCAGCTCCCGCCCAGGACAGCGAGGTGACCACGTTCACTTCTGCCAGCAGCAGACAGCTCTCCCCTCTCCCCCTGCAATGGCACGGCGGCAGCGAGTTAACAAAAAACAGTGCCTGCTCGCAGCCAACTCACTCACTAAGAAGTTGGCGGCCACAGGGAAGCAGGGGCCACAAGCCAACTCAGTTCAGGCTTTCCCCGACCGACACCACTGACCCTGACCCTGGACTTGGTCATGGCGGGGGGGGGGAGGGGGGTGCCTGGTCCCCACCCTGCAGCTGCCCAGGGAAATGAGCACATTTCACTTCCTCAGATCTATCATCTGAGGGCTTTGTCCTGTGCACATGTCAGCCCTGTGCCTGCAAGCTACGGCCAATCCGGGGAAAGACCCTGCTTCCCAAAGACAAAACAAAGCTGCTCTCAGCTCCTCCACGGGGAGGCTACGTGCCCAGCCTGCCCACGCGGCCTCAGCTCACGCACGCACCCGGCCTGCTAGCCACCGCACAGCACACCCCTCCCGCCTCACCAGCGTGGACAGGGCGGGGAAGTCCTTCGGCTGCTCCGGCACGGCCTCGTCCGCCAGCAGGGGGGTGGTGGCGACATCCCCAGAGTCAGACACGGGTGTGAGGGGTCGGATCTTCCAGAGGTCGCCGGTCTGGGACCTCTGACCCCAGGAGCTCATGCAAACAAGAGCCTCGACGGCTTCGATGTCATTCAGCTCCAAGAGGCCGCAGGCAGCCCGCTTCCGCTCCAGGATGGACTCGCATATGTCCACGATGTCCACCTACAGGCGGGCGACACCGCAGCTGCTCAGTCCCGGGGAACAGAGGAAGGCAGGGGGACACGCGCACCGGGGCCTGCACTCACACCCAGCGTGCTCCGCTCCGGGGAGAGAGGTCACCGGAACGTTCCACCACTCTGCTTTCAGGCCCACATTCTGATGACTGGGCGTAGTGGGCAAGACGCTTCCACAGAAAACCTGGTTCCTGCCCAAGCCGGTGTGGCTCAGTGGATAGAGCGTCGGCCTGCGGACTGAAAGGTCCCGGGTTCGATTCCGGTCAAGGACATGCACCTTGGTTGCGGGCACATCCCCGGTAGGGGGTGTGCAAGAGGCAGCTGGTCAATGTTTCTCTCTCATCGACGTTTCTAGCTATCTCTCTCCCTTCCTCTCTGTAAAAAAATCAATAAAATATGTATATTAAAAAAAAGAAAACCTGGTTCCTAAAAAGGCTCCTGATATGAAGGTCCTGCTCTGGGTAGCTGATGGGAAAGACATTAACTCCAGGGGTGGGGCCACAGTGGCTCTGACACCGGGAGGAAGGAAGGAACACGGGCTCCATCCATGGGGGAGCGTCCCTGCGGGTGCATTTTGGGCCACATTCCGGGGCCTTCTCCACGGCCCTCAAGCAGAACTTTGGGGCTGGAGGCTGAACTCCATGGGCACCGGCGTATAAAGCTGTGGCTGGTCTCGGGGACCTAAGTCCTCCCTTCATGCCTCAAGACTAGCGGGGGAGGGTGCGGGCCGGGTGAGAAGCGTCCGATTCCCGCCTCAACCCAGGAGGCTGTCTCCGGGCCCGAAGATGCCACAGCGGCTCCCGCAGGGCACACGGGAGGGGCGGCGGCCTTACCACCCCTCGCCCAGCTCTCCGGCCTGGGACAAGCTGGGAAGCCACAGGCGTGACCTCACGGGGCGGCAGAGCCCCCGACCGGCTGGCCGGCCCTCGCGACTCCCCGCCGCCCTCGGGGCGCGACTGCGGGAGCCCCGGCTGAGGGCGGCCCGATCCCCGCCCCGCCCGCCCGCCCGCAGCGCGGGTTCCCACAGCCCGGCCCGCCCCGCCGCCCGCCGCCTCCCCGCCAATGGCCACCGCCCGGCCCGGCGACGTCACCGCCGGACTCAGCCCCGCGCCCTCCGCCCGGCGCCGCTGCGGGCGCGACACAAAGCTGCGGGGGAGCCGCGGGGCACACGCCCCCGCCCCCCGGCGCCGCCGCCCGGCCCGGCCCGGCCCTCCAGGGCGGCCGCGGCGAGGCCCCGCGCCCCGCCCTGCACCCCCGCCGCGCCCCGCGCCCCCGCCGCGCCACTCACCGCGCGCGCCTCGCCGGGACCCGCGGCGGCCGGCGTGTGCATGGTGCCCGCGCCCCGACGCCACGAAGCGCCGGCGGGGCGGGTGCTCCGGGCGCGGCGGCGGCTGCACGTGCGCGGCGAAGGCGGCCTCCGCGGCCCGAGCTCCCGGGCCCCGCACGCGCCTCCGCCCGCTCCGCCCGCCGCTCTGCCCGGGCGGCCCCGGCGGCGCGGGAGGGGCGTGGCCCGCCGAGGGCGCGGCCGCGGGGCGGGGCGGGAGGCCAACCAAAACACGCCGGGGCGGGGCCGGGGCGGGGCTTGGGGCTCGCCAGCCAATCGGCGCGGGCCCCTGTTCCGCCGGCCAATGGGCGCGGCGGGGAGCCGCGTGATCAAAGCCTGGCCGCGGCGTGCGCGGGGGCGGGGCGCGGCACGTGTCCTGTGGGCGCGGGGGGCGGGGCCTGGAAAGTAGGGGAAAGGTCCCGGCGGCGGCGGCGGCGACGGGGAAGTCCTGGTCGGATTGGCGCACTCGGGAGGGGACCTCGTTTAAAGGGGCCGCCGCCCGCCCCCCGTGAATGGAATCAGGCCCCAGAGGCCTCAGCCCGGCCTGCTGGCTGTGTTTTCGTGTAGATGAATCCGCTACGGCCGAGGAGGGCGCCGCGGACCGGAGGAGCGTGGGCATCTGCTCCTCCTGCAGAGCCGGTGCCCAGGCGGGTGTCTGTCTGTGCACCCCTCCCCATCAGCTTTGGGCCGCAGTGTCCGCTCTAAGATATTTTCTTAGTGATTTCAGGGAGGAAGGGAGAGGGAGAGAGAGATGAAGACATCAGTGATGAGAGAGAATCATGGATCGATCCGCTGCCTCCTGCACAACCCACACTGGGGATGGAGCCACAACCGGGCCTGTGCCCTGGGTGGGAACTGAACTGTGACCTCCTGCTTTACAGGTCCAGGCCCAACCGCTGAGCCACACTGGCCCGGCACAGTTTCCACTCTTAAGTGAGGTCAGGAGGAGCCAAGACCGGTGATCAATCACCTGAAAGATGCCCAGTGAAACCTGCCCCTTCTTCCCAGACCAGGGTCAGTGTCCCCCCTCTGGGAGGGGTCAGGCGGGAGGAGAGAGAGCCCAGGGCACCTTCCCCCCTCATTCGGAGAGGGAAACGCGGGGCTCAGGACTCCGCCCTGCTTGTCTCCCATGGGCCTGCTCTGGTTGACAGGGTGACCCCATTCCTCAGGTCCTCACAGCACCTCTGAGGAGCCGTAATTCCTCTTTTCTTTTTTTTAAATATATTTTATTGATTTTTTTTTAGAGAGGAAGAGAAAGAGAGAGAGTTAGAAACATCTATGAGAGAGAAATATCGATCAGCTGCCTCTTGCACACACCCACTGGGGATGTGCCCGCAACCAAGGTGTGTGCACTTGACCGAAATCAAACCTGGGCCCCTTCAGTCCGCAGGCCGACGCTCTATCCACTGAGCCACACCGGCTAGGGCAGTGGTTGGCAAACTCATTAGTCCACAGAGCCAAATATCAACAGCACAACGATTGAAATTTCTTTGGAGAGCCACATTTTTACAACTTAAACTTCTAACGCCAATTCTTCAACATAGACTTGCCCGGGCTGTGGTGTTTTGTGGAAGAGCCACACTCAAGGGGCCAAAGAGCCGCATGTGGCTCTCGAGCTGAAGTTTGCTGACCAAGGGGTCAGGGCAATGCTTGTTTCTGTAGTTATTTGTTAATTGGCTCCACAATTAACCCCGCAAGGTTAGGGAGCTTGTTCAATTCACTGCAAACCCCTCGCCCCCCCTCCACCCCCCAACCTGGCTCACCGCAGATGACAGTGACTGTCAGTTGACAAAGCGAATAAAGGGGAGCACCTACAGGCCCCCAACATGGCTCTCCTGCAGGCACCTCCCATGTCATATCCAAACCTGGACTTCTCACCTCCCGCCTCCCCAAGTCCAAGGGTCATCTATGACTCCTCCCTCTCCTGCACCTGAGTCTCCTGCCAATCATCTCAGGCCCTTCTTCCTCCGAAATCTCTCAAACTTGGACAAAAATCATACACCTATGGATGAGGGCAGCGGGGGGGGAGGGTAAGAGGAGGGGGGGGGGACTGGGTGGAGGGGAGCTATGGGAGGGAAGAAACAATTGTAATAATCGGAACAATAAAGATTTATTAAATTAAAAATAAATAAATAAATCCCTCAAACCACTCACTCCTCTCTGCGGCCCCTCCTGCCTTCATCTGCTACCGCCCTCTCTCGCCTGACTTACCGCCATTGCCTCCCAGCAGGTCTCCTCCCTCCAGCCTCGCCACCTGTCGTCAGCCCCTCTCTCACCGTCCGAATGACCGTCCATCTTCGGGAAGTGGAGAGGGCAGCGGCCGGGCCAGCCCTCCGCAGGAATGCAGGCGGCTCTGGGCCTGGGGCTGCGCCTCCCCGCATCCTTCCCAGCCAGTCCTCCCGACACAAAACCTCCAGACACAGCGGTCCTCCTGTGCCGGGCCCAACCCTGCCGTCCCGCCCGCTCCGTGGGCCCGTGCGGCTCCTCGGGGAGCCTGTCCTCACTCCCCACACAGGCCCCCGGCAGAGCCAGGGCCTGGGAGCCAGACCGACCCAAACCCCAGTCCTGCAGTGTGGCCACCCCGGCCTGGGGGTCTCACTTCTCTAAAACAGGAGGTGGTCGTGGCGCCCCAGAAGGCTGGCACCCCAGGAGGCTGGCCCCCAGGAGGCTGGTCCCCCCAGGAGGCTGGCCCCCAGGAGGCTGGTCCCCCCAGGAGGCCGGTGCCCCAGGAGGCCGGCGCCAAAGCTCTCAATCGGTTTCGGTTTCGGTTTCCGCTCCCTGGACAGTGGCAACACCTGGCAGCTTAGGCCACGGGCCGGCTCAGGGTGCTCCAGGCATAAGGCCCTCTTCTTCTCACGTCTAGCCTGTGTTCCGGACAGACAGACAGAAAGGTCTTCACTCATGGTGTCCATCCTCCGTTCTCCCCCACATCAACCCAGGCACCCCATGTTCATGAAGCCTTTCTACACGCACACACATGCGCACACGCACACCCAGGCTGTGTGGTTGCTGCCAGGCCCTGGCTGCTGGGCCTGCCTGTCCAGAGGGATGTGGATGTGTTTCAGACTGAAGCCCGGCACTCAGAGACCTCCTGAGCCTCGCGGTCAGAGCCGGCGCTGGCAGGCAGACTGGACACGGGTAACTGCTGTATGCAGTCGATGCCATCCTGTCCTGTGTGTCTTTCCGGGCAGAGTGTGTGTGTGTAAACATATTGTGACACGGGACAGCCTTGGGTCCCCCGCAGAACCTGTGATTGGCGTTTCTACCAAGTTTCCAGATGCCGCTGACCCTGCTGGGCCCGGGACCATGCTGTGAGCACAACTGGGTTCGTCCAAGGGCCTGGTTTTGTGGAAACAGACCAGGAGAACAGAAGCAACTACCCAGCCACCCTCTGAGTGGGAGCGAGAGAGGCCTGGGACCCATGGCTCCCAACAGCACCCACACGGGTTCTCCACCAGGTTACAAGGCCACCTGGACGGATGCCCCCCAGATCAGCCCAGGAGATCCCCTTTGGAGGCCAGGGACGCCAGGCCATGGCACGCACCACCTGTGGCCCGGGAAGTCGGCCTAAGTGCCCATGGCCGCCAGCCCTCTGCCCAGCCAGCTGCCTGCACCTGGTCTGCCGCCAGCCCGGCTTCCCCAGTGACCCAGTTCGGCGCTGGAAGCAGCCCAGCCAGGTCAGCTGGGCAGCTGGGCAGCCGGGTCAGCTGTGCAGCAGCTCCAGGCATTGGCAGAGTGGCCAGTGGACACGTGTCTCGCGTGGGACACCGTGGGCCTGGCAGGGGCCTGAGCCAGGATCTGTTGGACCCTGCTCCTCGCTCCCTGGGGGCCCACGCTGGCCAGCCCCTGACTCAGCACAGAGATGGGTTTAACCCTCACCGTTGCCACCCCCCAGCTCAGAGCTGGCACAGCAGGACCTGAGGGGCCACAGCCTCGCCCTGGACAAGGAGGATGAAGTGAACAAGTTGGAAGTACTAGCTACGTCATCGCCAACGATGTGCCGGACTGCTGGTATTTTCCCACGGCCTGGGTAGCTTACGTAGACTTTGCCTCACCAGCACCCCAGGATGTGGGCGGGGGAGACACGTGGAGGCCGGGAGGGGTGAGGAGCCTGTCCAGCCAGGCTCCAGTTGGCGTTGCTGGGTTTTAGGTCATGTGTTTATGCTATGCTGTCTGCCTCACACGTGGCTTGCTGCTCACCCAGGGTGTCTTGCCACCCAGGCCCTAAGGACAGCCCCGGTCCGTGGTCTTACAGACCCTCCGGGGGACCCGGCATCCTGAATCCTCAGCATCCTCCGCTCCTAAGTGGGGGGAACACTCCTCCCTCGCCGAGTTGTCCTAGGAGCTAAAGGTGGAGTCTACACCACGGCCTCCTACAGGCAACCCACCGTCCCCGCCGGGGAGGACATTTATGGCTGGACCGGCCCAGTCCTCCCCTCGTGTCAGCCTGTGTGTGTGGTGTGTGTATGGTGTATGTGTGTGGTGTGTGTATGTGTGGTATGGTACGTGTGTGTTGTATGTTGCATGTGTGTATGTGTGTGTGTGCTGCTGTGTGTGTGTTTATATTCATACTGGGGAAGAGGGAGCAGCAGGGATCTCCCCTGCAGAGGGCAGGGCCTGGGGCGACTCCATAGCCCTCTCCTGCCCCCGCTGCTCTGGAGATAAGGCTGAGCCAAAACCGAAACTCAACCCCCCCTCCCCCCAGAGAAAGAATGCCCCCAGACACACACACCTTATCTCCCAGTGGCCTTGTCTCTGCAGGTTGTCTGAGCTCAGCCTGAGGGAGGGGCACAGGGAAGGGGGGGTGGTCCTCAGAGGCTGACTGGCTTCTCACCCTCGCCCTGATGTCCTCATGGCTTGAAACCAGCCGTGATGGGAGGCTCACTCCACCTCGACCAGCAGAGCCCTCGCTCGGAGTTTGCTTGAGAGGGTCAGGCCTCCCCGGCTCTCTCCTCCGAGGGTGCCCTGCACAGCAGTGAGGGGTCTGGAGGCCGCCTGGGGTCGGTCCCCAGCTGGGGCAGTGTCTGAGGGCAAGTTCCACCACCTGGGCCCATTGCACATCCTTCCTAGGCTCAGTTCTGTTCAGCAAAGGAGTGCAGCAGCATGGGCACACACACCTACACGTGTGCGCACACACATGCGCACATATACAACACACGTGCACACACAGGTGGCCTGCGGTCTTCAGATGGCCACGCCCTGAGTGCTGGTGGATCTGGGTTCAGGGCTGGGCCCGGCGGCCTCTCGCTTCCCAGGCTCAGCCCCGGGCTCCTTCAGACCGTCAGGCGCCTCCCTCGGGCCCAGCAGCTGCCGGGGAGGCGAGGTGGACCCTCTCAGGGTGACCACTTCGGACACAGTCTTACCGCCCCGAGTGGAAGCCCAGGCACTGGGGGAGACGCCGAGGACCTAGTGGGACACACCGTGGCGCCATCGGCTCTGCATGTGGGGGACAGGGAGAAGGGACACAGTAGTTCTCGGGCAAGGTCCAGGTCATCTTAAAACACTTAAAAACAGCTTCTTGGAGGCATAATTCATACACCATAGACTGCTGGTACTTAAAATCACAGTGTAAATCTGACACATGTATACCATCACCCCAATGTTCCCTCGTGCCCCCTTGGGACCCCCCTCCTGCCCCTCCCGGTGCCCTCCCAATCCCAGGCAATCCGTTTGGTGTGTGTGTGTTTAATAAAAAGGACTTTCTTCGTAATGTCAGCATCACATTAAAACAACAGAAGCCGCTGATGGCAGCAGGGTTGTTGGAACTGGCCCAGAAATACTTCCCAATCGGGACTGGGTGTTGAACATGGCCTTTCCCAAGAGTGTGGAAATAATGCTGTATTTCCTAGAGTTTTCTGTGGAAGGAGTCATACAGTACATTGTCTTCTTCATCTGGCTTCTTCAACTCGGCACCATTACTCTGATTTACCCACGCTTTGGGTGTGCCAAAGACAGAAGCTACAGGATTCATTCAGGAAAGATGCCACGCAAACAACAAACCCGGGAAGGAGAAGAGTCTGAATTCCACAATAGCCACATTCCACGGTGTACAATGTTCAGTTTCCACAACAAAAAGACACACAGATGCAGAGAGACGGAGAAGTAGGGCCCACAGACAAAGAAAACAAAGCCAGTACCAACTGTCCCAGACACTGGACTTACTAGACAAGGACTTTAAACCAGTTATTTTCCATCTGTTAAGAGGTGAGTTCACAGACATAAAGGGAACCGTGTCTAGAGAACTAAAGCATGAGAATGATGTCTCCCCACACAGCGGCCATGGGGTGCGGGGGCTGCCCAGGCCTCTGTGCCCTCTCTCAGCCTCTCAGAGCTGCCTGGGCATGGCTGCCACTACGAGTCAGGGCTGGGGGCGGAGGGTAGATGCCCCTCAACCCCAGAGGGAGCTGGAAGGAAGGCAGCGGCCAGCCAGTGGGGCACCCTCTGCTTGGAGGAGAGAATGGAAGTGGAGAAAGGGAGCAGCTGTTGGGAGTGGAGGGACTGGGAGGGACACCGTCTTCGGGCAGCCAATGCCCGGGCGCCCTGGGACTGTTTCTAGGCCGCCAACTCGGGCGGCTCTGCTGTGTGTGAGGTGGAGCGGCCACTGGCCTCTTTGAGCATTGGCTTCTCAGGAAGGGGAGATAATGACCCAGCCCTCCCCCTCCACAGGGAATCAGAACCTTCTCCCCCGTGGTCCTCCTGAAGAGGGGCTGCTTACTGCCCCCAGGGCACCTCGTCCTCGGGGCCACTCAGCCTGCCCCCACCCCAGCCCTCCAGGCCTGCAGGCTCTTATCACAGCCAACAGGCAGCCAGGGCTGAAGGGCTCCGCGTGGCCTCTGGTAACGGACCTGTGGCTGCCAGGTCACGTCATGCTCCCTCTGCAGCCGAGGGACAAGGCGTCCACTGCCCGCTCTGTTCTGGAACACGGATAATGGAGGGGAGACAGGGGGTGGGGGACCCCGCGGAAACCTGGCCTTCCGGAAGTGGGGGGCTACGGCGAGAGCCCGGCTGGCTTCCGTGCCCACACAGAGGGAGGCCAGGAGGCCGTGTCCACCTGGACCACCCTCCCTGCAGCCCTGAGACCCAGCTCTGGGCAAGCAGGCCCCCACATCACCCAGCTTGGGAACAGGGTCACCCCCAGAGGCTGCCCCAGGCTGGGGAGCTTTGGGCTTCATGCCTCCGTCAGGACTGTAACGGCTCTCGCGGCTACATTTTGGTTAACAGTTGAAACTTATGATTATTATCTAGGGCCCCTCACGGAACCATCACTGGGACCATTTCAGAGCCCTGGAGGGTCACTCAGATGGGGGTGAGGCCGAGGCCGAGGCTGGGCACAGCAGAAACTGCCAGGGAGGCCCGGCTCGGCTCTGCCTCTTTAAGATCTCAGATCCCGCAGGCCGGCCTGCCTAACAAAAGGTCACATTCAAACAGAATAACAGGAAATGACATCTTTGAGATAGGCACATAAATTTAATCCCGTTGGCTTAAAATGCATCTTCAATGACACCATTAAAAACAGTAAACAAGGCACAATCAATTTCATAAAACACAATAGAAAATATTGTCATACGACCCGTGTCCCATATTCTTATTTTAGAAAACCAGCAATTCAGTTCACATACTTCATTAGGATATTTTAACACAAGAATGCAACTATCCGTCCTACTTCTACAAACTAGTTCCCTGAACCGACAGATACCCGTGATCTTATGTTATAAAATGACACTGTAATATTCCTATACTCTTAAACATGTGTACAAAACGCCCCCTGCCACGCGAGAGTGTCCTACACCCGTGACCGCTTCTCCGCGGGGAGTGCACGGATGACCGAGGGCCAAGTCTGCAGCGCGGCAGAACGCCCTCCCCCCAGCAGGAAGACCGGGAAGGACAGAGCTGCCCCATCTGTGGCGGCAGGAGGGCGCAGGCTGGCGTCCACGCCTTCCCTTTACTTCATGTGTAAACAGTGCGGGCCAGACGACAGCAGCCCTAGCGCGAGCTGAGCCCCTGAGCGGCCCGGAACGTTCCGCTCGGGACGACTGCGTGCTCTGGGTTCCGCCGAGGGTTCCATCTGCTCGGTGGACGTTAATTACCCGGGTAACTCAGCCCGCGGCCGAGGCCGAGTCTCTCAGGTAGCTGTCATCCATCTCTCCGTGTCTGCCCACGGATGCTGCATGCATATATTATCTATCTGTATGAGACACGTATGTACACATTTACAGACGGGCCTTGGGAACTTATTGCACTTATGTACACAGTGGCCCCGAAGATCTGCATGAGAAAGGCAGCAGGTGTTTCAAGAGTCGAGAGGGGAGGTTCTGGTAACACGCTCTGCTGGAGTAAACAAGTATGTGCGGGGGGTGGAGGTGGGGAGGGGGACAGCCACAGGAGAGGGTGAACCCTTTGTTCTGGGACGTGGCTTCCACCACCCTGAGGCAGGGAGTGACACTGAGCTCAGGCTGAGCGCCTGAGCCTGTGGCCACACCCACCGCCTCTGACTGTAGTGGGCAGGCCCGCTGACCCTGAAGACATGGGACACCCCATAGCTGTACGGTCTGGCCATGGTGCTGCTAGCATACACCTGAGACTAATACCACCAAATATTGGATTGACCGTGTAATAAAAATATCATTATAAATACTGTAGCAGATATCCTAAAGGTTCCCAGAGAGTCCATTAAATCTTGGAACAGAGTTTTCACTTTAACCCCAAGTATGTGTATCAGAAAAGGCAAGCGTATAATAGAGTACGGGTTTCTCTCATCCGAGAAACGCCAATGCCGTGTGCTCCACGCCCTCGCCAAGCCCGTGCAGCCCCACCTCCAGGCGGGAGTCCTGCCCCCGACGTCGCCGTGATGGGCACGAGGCTGACAGTGGGCTGCGGCCTGGCAGACAGCGAGACCTGGGCAACACCTTGGTGAACCGCGGGGTCTGCGGGCCCGGCGCCCTCAGATCTCCGTGAGGGTGAGTCTGTACGACCCCCCCACCTCCTCCATCTGCAGCTGGAAGGTGTCCTCGTTGGAGTAGTGCTTCACGATGTTGTCGTCCATGTTCACCAGGATCCTGGGGGGAGGGCGAGATGGGCACTCAGGCTGCCCCCCAAAACCGGGGCGTCCGCGTGCAGCGGGCTCTGCTGCCTACTAGCTGTGACCCGCCAGGCCGTTATCTCAGTCCCTAACCCCACATCGCCCGTCTGAGACGGGATAACAGTGCGCGTCCCAGGATTCATGGGGACTCAAGCAAAACACTTGCGACAGTGCAGGGCGTGGCTCACCAGAACACACGCTCCTTTCCTGTTCTCTCCTGTGAATGACCGCAGTAGCGCAGCTGTGGTAAAACAGCGAGGCGCGGCAGAGGGCTTCATGGGGCCAGCTTCAGAAAGCCTATCAGTGAGACCAACCTACCGACCTGCAGCCCGGTCCCCGACAAAGGCCCTTCCCTGGCACGTTACCCTCAGCATTGAACTGACCAGCACTAAGTCCGCCCTTCCCACCGGCCCACCCGCCAAGTTCCCGTGAGGATTTGCGTTAGAATTCTCTGCCCTCTGATCCTGCCAAACAGCAGACACTCAGAATGAAAATGCTTTCTGGACAAGGACGCCTGCTCTGTAGGTGCAAACACGACCCAAACAGAGAGGGGGGATAGCAGCAAAGGTGGGGCCTTGGTCAAGACTCACTGGACCCCTGGACTCAGCCCTGGCTTGATCTGGGGCAGGTCTCCTGCTCTGTGCCTCGGCTGCTTGCCCTATACCCGCTAAACCCTGCACGGGAACACCCAGCCCCAAGGGTCATGTGAACGTGCATCACGTGGGAAGCACCTGACCCAGCCTGACCCTTGACGGGGCTCTGCAATGGGGCAGTAACCCTCAGTGGGCTCTGCTGCCAAGGAGAAGAGCAAAACCCATCAGGGGGCTGAGACCGGGAGATAGAAGCAATTTCAGAAAATTTTAGGAAAGGCACGTCCTCCCAGGAATGCATCGATGAGGCTCTGGACTGGGCCCCAGCGTGCTTGAGCAGCAGTCACACTGAATAAACCCGTCTGACTCAGTGCTGGGTGCCAGGGAACGAATGCTCACCCTTTTTTACATTTCTTGAATATTTTCCCAATCTTGTCATGGGGGACATCATATTTGTCTGAGATCTAAAAGAGAAGAGCACGGAAAAGAACGATAAGATGGCATTTTACTGGCTTTCACAAACAACTGTGTCTACGAACCTAGTGGGACAGTCACTCAGTTCTGAGTTTCAGAGTGCTTATGTCTTCAGCCTGGGTGGGGGCAGCCCCCTGTGGTGGGAGCTGGGAACTCTGCATCCCGAGTACAGATGTCCATGGTGTATCACGTGTCAGCTGTCTTGTTATTTAAGTTTTGACTGCTGACAGGTCAGAGTGTAAAGGGCGTTCCATAGAGCAGGGTTAAGCCGTAGACAAGCTGGGCAGAAGCACAAAGCTGCTCCCCGTTACTGGCTATGAACTACCCTCTCACATCAGCGCCCTGCTCTGGCTGTAGGCAAGGAGCTACGACGTTACGAGTTAAATCTGCCGTGTTCATGTGTCCCCTGTGTTGGACATACATGGGTTTGACAAGTGCTCCGAGACACACGTCCACACAGTCACACGCATTCCGAGCACGTGACCCGAGGCCTTGCTCTGGGGCCAGACGATTCCCATCAGCTGCGCGCCCTCCGCTGGGGCTCGAGCCTGGGCACTGAACCGGGACCTCCTGGCTCCTCAGGGGATGCCCACCCCCGCCAGCCCGTCAGGGAGCTTTACTGCAAAGTGCTACTCACGGCCTCCATCAAGCCCTTCAGGGACGGAGTCTTGAGCATCAGGGCGTCGAAGACTTCCTCTGCCTCCTTCCGCACGTAGAGCAGCACTGATCCCCCGGGAGTGAGGAGGAGAGAGGGGGAAAGGACACAGGTCACGCATAGAGAAAACAGGAGGCAGAGCCTGGCACTGGTTAAAATAGAGGCGTCCACACCACGGATGCCACATGACCCCGTCTACCATGTCCAAGGGCTCAGCTTTCGGCTGCTGAGCCCTGCCTTCGTGTAGGCTCTCACCAGGACGAGGTCATCAAACCGGACAAGGCTGGTTTGAGCACCTGAGGCTTCTGGCAGGTTGAGACCTCGCTTCCAACGCAAAAGTCCCACTAAGACATGAGCCCAACGCACCTCTCTTGGGCTCCTCGATCCGGTTCAGCTTAGCGGGCGGGGGGACCACAAAATCGTCCTCAGACCCGAACGGCCCCCTTTTCAGGTTCGAGCTGGGGAGACAAGGCCGGCGTGTGACTTCCAAGGCACGTGCGAGACCAGATGGGCCTGGGGCTGGGCTAGGCTCAGACTTGGGGTGACCCTCCCTCCTCTGCTCCCCCTCCTTATTGTGGACACACTGAGGCCCCGGGAAAGAGACCGACTGAACAGGGCTGTGTGGGAGGCAGCCAAACTCTGTCTCTCTCTCACACTGATGTCCCTTTCTGTGTCTGCCCCTTCCTTCCACTCTCTCTAAAAATCAATGGAAAACTATCCTCAGGTGAGATTAACAACAACAAACCCAGGCGTCAGTGGAAAGGAGGAGGGGAAGCTGGAGGAAGGAGTGAGAAGAGGGCGGGGCTGGCTGCCAAAAGCTGCCATGGGCTGACGCTGTGAGGCTGGGAGCGGTGAGCAAAAACCAGGGGAGTGAGTGAAAACAGAAAGGAGGGAAGGAGTGCCTGGCTTCGAGCAGGATCAGCGTTTCAAGAACAGGGCTGGGTTTTAAAATCCTCTGTCCCGGCTTCTGGAACCTCCGAGGCCTCCAATGACAGACAGCACAGGGAGTGCCTAGGTCTGAGCACCGCAGAGGTGCAGAGGCCATTGAGGCACCATGCGGGGGGCTATGACGTGGCCCAGAGGGCCTCACCACGGGGAGCACTGCTGCCAGAGCCCAGAAGCTCACAGGGGCCCACACCCAGTGCCCAGCGGGTCCGGGCCGTTCACGCAGAGCAGGGTCCGGGGAGGAGGGAAGCACCGTGCCCGGAACAGCTGCCCGAGGTGGGGGAGCGCCAGGCTCCGGGGTGGGGGGTGGGAGGTCATGTCGGAGGATCCGGGAGCCACTGGGGGCTTTTGCCGGCCTCGAGGACAAGCTGAGCAGAAAAGTGACAGTGCTGGCTACGGCTTATTGAGCAGAACTGGAAACCACGAGCCCACAAAGACTCCAACGCTGGAGTCAAAGACTCCAACGCTGATATAAATAAGGGGTACGTTGAAAGTGTGATGAGGGAGGAGGGATTCACAAAGCTACAAAGCGCCTTCCCCACAAAGCACTTATTAGAGGAGAGGAGGCTGGTGACACCCCTGCATCGGCATCAGCGGGCAGGGGGCCGCCCACAGGCCCCCCGGGGAAGGCAGTAGCTCAGCTTCCTGCCCGGGTGCACGGTCTAGTCTGCCCAGGAGGTGACACTGGGGGGCGGTCCACAGAACCGGAACCTTCCATGGCGTTAGCTCCGGGCTGAAGGGGAGATGGGCTGTGGATTGTGGGCGTGGAGGAGGGGCAGCTAAGTGCACTGAGTGGATCCGCGCTGGCCCCTTTCCGCTGTGAGGGCCAGGCTGCTACAACGGCGGGACCTGGGTGGGTGAGTGCGGACAGGGGTCGTGTCTCAGGGCCGCTCTCCTGTCACGGGGGAGCATCCTCGTCTCCGGATGCAGGAGACAGACACCCAGGTCACACGGCTCAGAAAAACACGAGCTCCATCAGACTTGCAGTTTCCTCCATGTCTGAGACGGTTTCAAAGTGAAAAGGACTTAGAGCAGAACAAAGCGTGAGCCTTACCCTTCGCCCTCCAGCTCCTCGGCAGCGACGGAGAGGACCTGAAACAGAGCACGGTTCAGACCAGTCAGCGATTCCTCAAGCGGACACAGTCTTTTTTTCTTTCTTTCTTTTTTTTTTTTTTTTAATATACTTTTATTGATTTTTTACAGAGAGGAAGAGAGAGGGATAGAGAGTTAGAAACATCGATGAGAGAGAGTCATCGATCAGCTGCCTCTTGCACACCCCCTACTGGTACATGCCCTTGCCCGGAATCGAACCCGGGACCTTTCAGTCCGCAGGCCGACGCTCTATCCACTGAGCCAAACCGGTCCCGGCAGCGGACGTGGCCTTGAACCTGACCCAGCCAACACCACCTTTCGCCTGTTTTTCATTGACCACTTCTTGGAGTCGTGCTGGACTCCTCCACCTCGGGGGCAGCCAGCCTGGCCCCCCGGGCCCAGGAAAGCAAGCGCTTCCGGCCCGTGGCCAGCGCCTCCCTGTGGGCTGAGATGCCGGCGTTGGCACTGCGAGCGGCGGTGACGTCGTCCCAATAGGGGCCGTGTGGCCACAAACACCTAGCCTGTTTATTACTTGGCCCTGTGCAGAAGAAGTTTGCCAAAGCTTCTCGTTAGAACGGAATACACTGGCAATGGCTTCCCCAATAGTCCCTACAAACCGTGAGTCCACACCAACCCAGATCTGTCCACTCGGTGCACAGCCCGCCTCTCCCGTCCACCTGCCTCAGCGGGAAAGCCGCTCCGCTCAGCTCACACTCCCACCGCCAGCCTCCGGTCGCGGAGACACGGCTGTCTGTGCGCAACGGCGACCCAGTGTCAAGACCTTGCTCTTCACGCCACGAGGCTGCCTGGCTCCACGCACCCCTCTGGCTCTTCCCTCCCGTCAACCCATGGAATTTAAATCCCCAGGATCAAAGACTCCAACTCCAACTTCTGTGACTCTTCTAGCACTTTGTAAACGAGTAAAAATCGAAATTAACAGAACCGGGCCTGGCCGGCTTGGCTCTGTGTATACAGTGTGGGTCATGGACAGAAATCCCAGCTCGGCGGGCCCTGGTCTGGGCCTGTGTGGTAGGCAACCAATTGATGTGTCTCTCACACATCGATGTTTCTCTCTCTGTCTCTCCCTGTCCTTCCCACTCTCTCTAAAAATCAATGGAAAAGTGTCCTCGGGTGAGGATCACCAATCACTCCACCACCACCTCCACCCAGCGGGTTGAGGTGACGGGTCTGGCACTGCGTGTCCAATGGCGCTCACACACCCCGTACTGCAAGGACATCGCGGCACCACGGACACACCAAGAGCCAACCAGACATTGGCACACTCCCTCCGCTTCGGCTTCTGTTTACACAGCCTTCCTCTGGGACCCGGCTACGTACGTGGGTGCCCCGCTGCAGGTTGGCGAAGTGCACGTCGGGAATGAAGAGGACAGGCTGCGTGTCCAGGTCGACAGAGGGCTTGAAGACCGTGATGTCCATGCGTTTGTGAGTGGGGAGCAGCGGCACCTTGACGTCAGACACTGGAAAAGCGAGGACACGCCGTCAGCAGCTTGTGCGTGCAGACCGGAGCGGCGAGCAGCTCCTCAATGGTCAGAAGCTGCAACCGAGGCCCGGGGAGGGCAGGCCATCCCGGACCCCGGAGGACGCGGTATGTAAAGGTATGTGCCATTGGTGTTTCGTACACTGAAAGAACGTCTTATCGAAAACAGAGGGAAAAGGCATCTTTACACACACACACACACACACACACACACACACACACACACACACCCCGATCAGGAACAGACGCAGAGCACAGCCTTGACGGAAAGGCTCAAAGGTGGGGATGTATGGACAGAACTCGGGCATTCACTGTGGCTGCCGCATCGAGGAATTCACATTCTAACGCGTGACCTCTTCTAGCTCCGACACCCCTTCCTGCGCCTCCCTTCAGCGAGGCCGAGGGCATCTCTTAGGAGACTGCAGGGCCCACTGCCCGCCCCGGAGGCCTCGGACAGCTTTCCCAGGAGCAGCCGCTCCTAGGAGCGAAGGGGCGCCAACACTGACAGCGCGCCGCCCGAGGGGAGGGTCTGCGGGGCCTGGCCGGCGCCATGCCCTGGAGGGAACTGTGGCCAAGAGCAGCACTTCCCTGTGGAGAGAGGCTTTGGGAATGTGAGTGTTGGTCACAGGGAAAGGAAAGGCTTTCCTGAAAGGCCAGGCGTCCAAGCTGCGCTCCGCAGCCTCTGCAGACGTGAGGGTGTGGGACAGGAAAGCTGTCACTGGAGTGAAGGCGCCTGCGCTCTCGGGGTGTAACTCTGTTCTTAATGACCCAGGCAAGACCCCGGGTGCACTCAGCTGTCCCCCAGCTGCCACCACCACCGCGGGACTGACAGCCTAACACAGGCAGGCAGGGGCCCCCTGGCCCGGAGAACGCCCCGAGCCACCCTGGGCCTCGGCCTGTGGGGGAAGCCAGGTCCCAGCCTCAGCGGCAGCAGCAGCAACGAGCTCCTGGGAGAGCTCAGGCAGGACAGGACAGGGCGGAGCCCGGAGCCCGGAGCCCGGGCCTCAGCGCTCACCGGGCAGCCAGGCACTTGCCTTTTCTTTTGCTCTGTTTTCGCTCTTCGTCCCGGATTTTCCGTTCGGCTCCCTGTAGGTCAAGGCAGGACAAGAGAAAACATGCTTCTGTTTACCCGATCCTCAGCAGGACACACACACACACACACACAGCTCCCGTTAGAAATGGGCCCATGGCCTCTTACGTTCCTGGAGCTTAGCACCACAGTTTCCTCTAAAAAGCCTATTTAAAAAAAAATATATATATATACACACACACACACACACACACACACACATATATATATGCATATATATATTTTAATGATTTCAGAGAGGAAAGGAGAGGGAGGTAGAGAGAGAGAGAGAGAGAGAGAGAGATCAATGATGAGAGAGAATCATAGATCGGCTGCCTCCTGCCCACCCCACACTGGGGATCGAGCCCACAGCCCAAGCCTGTGCCCTGAGGGGAAATAAAATCGTGACCTCCTGGTTCACAGGTTGACGCTTAAGCCCTGAGCCACGCCTGCCAGCCGGGCTAAAGAGCCTCTTCTTAAAAGCATGTTTAACTCCGGAATCCCAGGGAAGCAGCAGCCACCCCCTCCACCGTGGCTGTGCCAGCTACATGCACAGCTGGGAAGCTCGCCGGCGTGCCACTGCCTTAAAGACACAGGAGCGTCACAGCGCAGGGCTGGGAATCAGACATGGGAAACAGTGAGTTACCGTTTCTCTCCGAGGACACACCGGGCTAAGAGAGAGACAGAGAGAGGAGCTCACAGAGAGGGGGGGAGGGAGGGCTCTCTTGGAGAGCGGCACTGCCTACAAACCAGGAGGCTGAGGGGCCGCCAAGGACGGGCACAGCCTGGCGTGGCCCTAGTGTACCCCTGGCTCTATCAGACATACCCAGCAAAATGCCATTTTCCCACCCGGCCGATGTGCCTTTGTGCTTTAGCTCTGACCCATGCATGACCCAGGAGGTCACGGTGTGATTCCCGGTCAGGGCACACACCGGGGTTGCGGGCTAGATCCCCAGTAGGGGGCATGCAGGAGGCAGCCAATCGATTATTTCTCATTGATGTTTCTATCTCTCTCTCCCTCTCCCTTCCTCTCTCTGAAATCAATAAAAACATGTTTTTAGAAAGTGATTTTCTGTAAGAACAAGATTCTTCTCTTCCCTCCATAACGTATCCCTGCAAGGCTGAGCCAGTGAGGGCCTAGCCTCCTCTCCATTAACAGCACAGCGGCGCGGACACAGCGCGGGCACCAGGCTTGCCCCCGCCGGGCCCCGCCGGAGGCCCACCTTGTCGCAGAAGACCTTGATCTGGCAGATGGCGCGGTGCACCGGCTTGTTGCTGCGGTGGTTGTAGCTGTAGGTGTCGATCTGGATGTTCAGCGGCAGGCCCTTCACGCCCTTCTGGGAGGAGAAGTCCGTGCTCAGGCAGTTCACGGAGATGAACACCTGCAAGGGAGGCCCGTGAGCTGTGAGACGCAGACGTCAGAAATGCCCAGGCTGTTCTAAGTGAGTGCAGCTGCTCAGCGAAAAGACGTTTTTAAGAAAGGGTTTATTTTAGAACCACATTTGGTCAGAGCGACGGCAGACTCTAACGGGAAAGGCAGCCGGGCGCTCTGACTGCTGTCAGAACACGTATGGAACGTCGCACAGGGACAAGCTGCCGTCTGCGTGTAGCACAGGTTCCCTCCCAGCGGCCTGACCGCTTCACACACACGCTCTGGGGCCGGCCTGCGTGTCTGTCTGTGTCTGAGGACAGCCTGCAGTATCCGAGGCCCGAAGGTTCTGGACTTTGTGACATCGGGTGTGATATCCTGAAAGTGGAACTGAGCGAGTCCCAGCAAAGCTACTTCGGCAAACGAACACGCTCCATTCCCTCCTATTTCTGTGACTGGATTCCAGCCTCCCACACGTGGTCCCTGTTTTCTGAGTTCCCTTTCAACGGAGACTTAGAATTCATTTCTGATGTGTGAGCGCCACACGGTGGATAATACTGGAATGAGTTTTATTTATTTATTTTTTTAATTTTATTTATTTATTTTTAAAAATATATTTTATTGATTTTTCTTACAGAGAGGAAGGGAGAGGGATAGAGAGCTAGAAACGTCGATGAGAGAGAAACATCGACCAGCTGCCTCTTGCACACCCCCTACTGGGGATGTGCCCGAAACCAATGTACATGCCCTTGACTGGAATCGAACCTGGGACCTTTCAGTCCACAGGCCGACGCCCTACCGCGGAGCCAAACCGGTTTCGGCTGGAATGACAGTTTTAAAAACCAGGCATATGTCACAGACCAAAGACCCTGGACTGTATTCCTTCCAGTCCACGGCGACAGCCCCTCAGCCCAAGCAGCCAGGACCAGATCTACAGGGGACTGGTGTGTCCTGGCTGCACACAGGCCAGACAGAGACCATGTGAGCTAGAAAAGGGAGAACCTACCAGAGAGGGAGGTGAGGAAGGGTGGGGCAGAGGCAGAGAAAGGAAATCACAGCTGGTGCCTGAGCATGGGTCTGGAAAGCACACAAACGACTGAGATAGCGCTTCACTCTCCCTCCGGTCTGTACACGGCTCCTGAGGAGGACAGGACCGAACAGCCAAAAGCTGAGAGCCTGTCCACACTGACAGGTGTAGCCTCCTCCATCCTGTCCCCCCCAGCTCTCTGCTCACTCTGGTCTCTGGAGGGAGCTGGCTCCGGCCCCTCCCTGTTCCCGTCCTTCTCCCCGACCCGTTCCCCTCAGGGCCCCCATGGGACTCTGCCTCTCCTCACCTGCAACCAGTCAATCCCACCTGCACCCAGGCTGTGCCACGGGCCACAGCAGGGACACCCTCACTGAGCACTGATGCTCCAGACCAGGCTGGTGCGTCACACACGGGGTCTCCTTCCTTCCTCCCCAGGGCCTGGAGAGGCAGGCCTGTCCTCTTGCTTACAAGGAAAGGGAGAGAGTTTTAAGTTGTCCCCCAGGGAGAGGGCATGGGTGTGTGTGTGTGTGTGTGTGTGTGTGAAGTGAGGCCAGCGGGGTGTGTGTGTGTGTGTGTGTGTGTGTGTGTGTGTGAAGTGAGGCCAGCAGGGTGTGTGAGTGTGTGTGTGTATGAGTATGTGAGTGTGTGAGAGTGTGTGAGTGTGTGTGTGTGTGTGTGAGTGAGTGTGTGTGAGGGTATGTGAGTGTGTGTATGTTGTGTATGAGTATGAATCCTCACCAGAGGGTATTTTTTTCCATTGTTTTTCAGAGAGTGAAAGGGAGAGAGGAAGAAAAGAGGGAGAGAGAGGGAGAGAAACATTGATGTGAGAGACAGTGACTGTTGCCTCCTGCGTGCACCCCACCGGGCCAGGGATTGTGCCTGCAGCCCCTTGGTGTGCGGGCCAGCACTCTGGCCAGGACCCAAATCAACTTCTTATCCCACCCCTGGCTTGGCTTCACCCCCTGGAACACCTGCCGTTTCCCCACGCCACGTCCCAGGTCCCCAGCTGGACTGCACATCCGTGGTGGGACATCCATGTTCTCTGCCTGGGCCTTCTGGGCACAGTCCTGGCCTCGGACGCCCTGGCTTGCCCACTGTGACCTTCCCTTCCATTCAACCCGTTTTTTAGAAAACAAGCACCCAGATTTAACGTTTAAATACCTAAATCCAGACGATAGGCAGAAAGTGGTACACATGAACTTCAAACCCATTACAGAGACTTAGTGCTCCGGCTGTATTTTTGGAAAACACTTCATATACGATCCATAAATTCAAGTAAAGGAGGTGTCTATGGAACAGATGAAAGACAACGCAGACAGAACGGCAAACAGAAGGCAGTCTCTGAACCAATGGAGCAACCACCCCACTGCAGTCTTCCTTGCACCGCCAGGGGGAGCCCGCCTTTTCCCTGTCACCCCGACCCAGGGCTCACTTCCTAAGGCGAAAGCTGCAGCCGTAATTATCCTTACGTCACGGCGAGGCAGACAGGTAACGTCGTCTTCCCTTGGTGGTCCGGATCCCCACTTCCACCAGTGACCTCCGGAGACGACACCGGTGTCATCCACCCCTCGGGGCACCAGGGAGATGCTCAGCACGTAGGAGTCTTGATTTAGGAAGGGGACGAGCCCCGGTCAGAAGGACCCAGAACAGACGGGAGGGCGAGCGTGGGAACGCAGGCCCACCCTACTTTGGTCCTGGGCGGCAGCACAGACGGGGTGCTGTTCCAGGCAGTGCCCCTGCACACCAGCTCTGCCCAGAGCAGCCCGAGGAGCAGGGCAACGGGCCGTCTCACCAAGTCTGGGCAAAACCAACATCCAGACCGTCCTCACCACGTAGAGAGATGGTCTCTACAATGTGATTCCGGAAACCCCAGGATCTCCCAGAGTGGGAAAGAGGCAGAAAGTACGCTGGAGCCCTGGCGGGGGGCTCGGTAGGTTAGAGCAGCGTCCCAATGCACCAAGGTTGCGGGTGTGAGCTCTGGTGAGGACACATGCAAGAAGCAGCCTGTGAATGCGCCCCTTCCTCTCTAAAAATCAATCCATAAAAGCTTTTATTTTTTTAAAATATATTTTATTGATTTTTTATAGAGAGGAAGAGAGAGAGAAAGAAACATCAATGAGAGAGAACCATCGACCAGCTGCCTCTTGCACACCTCCTATTGGGGATGTGCCCGCAACCAAGGTACATGCCCTTGACTTTCAGTCCGCAGGCCGACGCTCTATCCACTGAGCCAAACTGGTGCCGGCCAATCCATAAAAGCTTTTAAAAGGCATTATGACACATTCACCTCCTTGTCTATAAAACACACGTGTATGCCTTCTCTCTCCCTCCCTCCCTCCGTTTCTCCCTCCCTACTTCTGAGCCTCAGGGAGGCTGAATGCCACACCGTCTCCTCTCGGGATAATGCAGACCTTTAAGCCCTCACAGGTGATGCCCTTTCTGTTTTCATCCTTTCTCCCATGGATTCCGAGGAAAAGTCTGACTTTATTAAAATACTCTGTTCCTGCCCACGTCACCTGGAGCGCAGGAGTGACCGCTCAGCAAGGGGAGCCGCTTGGCAGGTCCTGCTCCATGTCGCCCATTTGCCTAAGACCGTCCTCACTCCTGACCGGGCGTTCCTGCACTCACCGCTTTCCAAATGAATTACTCTGTTTTCAAACCTCAGCTTGCCAAGGAGAGAAAACAGCGAAACAAAGGTTCACATGCTCAGAGGATTAAGGTGCATGGGTTTTTCAGTCCCAACGCTCACAAGCGCAGAACCAACGAGAAGGAAGACCCGGTGCCTTTTCCAGAGGCTCGTGGCACCCACACATGCTGTTCACACCGCTGGCTGCTTTGCCCACAGCGCCTCCTCCACGGGGAACACGGAGGGGGAGGAAGACGCGAGAAAACAGCGTGTCCACACACAGGTGGCCAGGAGGCGGAAGCACCCGGGACCAGTGTGATGGATCGCTCTTCAGATCCCCCTCACAGACCGAGGCCAACCCCAGACAGTATGCCGGCTGTCTCCGCTCCACAGACCCGGGAGCTTTAGCCAGTCAACTCCACTTGCGGGGAAATCAGGGAAGTGTTGTTCACCATCAGAAAGAGAGCATGAACAAAGCACCTGGAGCCCAGGCTGGCTGCTCAGTGGTTAAAGCGGCGGCCTGTGGACGGAGGAGTCCCGGGTTCGATTCCTGGTCAAGGTCATGTAATCTCAGTTGCAGTTTCCCTAGCCCTGGTAAGGGTGTATGTGGTGTCTTTCTCACATCAATGTTTCTCTCTCTCTCTCTCTCTCTCTCTCTCTCTCTCTCTCTCTGTCTCTGTCTCTGTCTCTCTCTCTCTCTCCCTTCCTCCCTCCCATTCCCTGGAAATCATTGGGAAAAATATCCTCAGGTGAGGATTAAAAACAAAACAAAGCACTTGGAATCTGTCAGTCAAGTTACCAAAATTGCAAGTAGTTGAGTCAGAAGCTAAATGACGAATCGGACTCACCCATGTGCACAAGCCTAGGTTACTGCTCATGAACTCCCTGAAAGGCTGTTCCTTTAAAAATGTATCAGGGCAGTGATAGCCATGCTATATCCATGTACAGGAGAAGAACCCAGCATCCAAAGAATACAGTCTTACTTTGTTTCCTCACTGGGAGAGTTAGGTAGAATTCTGCATGTTTTCATAAAATTGCTATTAAAATACTGAAAATGACTTCTTTTGACTTTCATAATATGGTTTTTTCAATGAATAGAATAAAATTATTTCAGAATGTGAACCTTTAGTCTAGCCGCTGTGGCTCAGTGATTGAGTGTCGACCTACAAACCAGGAGGTCACGGTTCGATTCCCGGTCAGGGTACAGGCCCGGGTTGCAGGCTTGATCCCCAGTGGAAGGCGTGCAGGAGGCAGCCGATCCATGATTCTCTCTCATCATGGATATTTCTGACTCCCTCTCCCTTTCTCTCTGAAGTCAGCAAAATACATTTAAAAAAAAAATGTGAACCTCTAAGAATAT